ATGGGCATACCAGACCGCCTACAAAACTCCAATCAAAGCCACCCCTTACAAGTTGGTTTATGGGAAGACATGCCATTTACCGGTGGAACTTGAGCGCAAGGTCTATTGCGCGATAAACAAACTGAACTTTGATGTAGAATTAGCGGGTGAAAAATGGTTGATGCAATTGAACGAGCTTGATGAGTTTCGTTTGCACGCATATGAGAATGCCAAGTATGTAAAGAAAAGATCAAGCGCTGGCATGATAAGAATATCCACAATCGGGAGTTCAAACCGTGCCAGTTGGTTCTCTTGTTCAATTCAAGGTTGAGACTCTTTTCGGGGAAGCTCAAATCGAGATGGTTGAGCCCGTTTGAGGTAGTGAGAGTCACTCCACATAGTGAAATTGAGTTGCGCCGTCGTAGTTGGCGAGAGAACGTTCTTAATGAATGGACAAAGAGTAAAGCACTTTTATGGAGGCGACTTTGATCGTCAGAAGTTGAAGGTGTTACTTGCCAATGATTAGACGAGATTCTGCGTTGTGCCGCGACGTTAAATCAGGCGCTTGTTGGGAGGCAACCCAACTTTACTGCTTCCTTTTGTTTTTATTTTTACTATATTATTTTTATAGTGTCTTTTTTTATTTTGTAGAATTATAAGAATAGGAAGCAAAGCCATTTGAAGAGTGCAAAAGCGAGTTAAATAGCGAGAACTAAGTGTGGAGTACCCACAAAAATGTCCATGCATAGGGCATGTCTGACCACCTCGTGAGCCGTGATTGCTTCAGCCTTTGGCCTTTCAGGGAGTTTCTTGTCCACCCTCGTTATTTTTTTGCTTTATTTGTGCATTAGGGACACTGCACTCCTTTAAGTGTGGGGTGGGAGAATTCCTCTATATAATTAGCAGTAGTAAGTTAGAAAAATGTTAACTTCTTATTTTGATTTTAGCTTCTTATTTTGTTTTCGTAGTTGTGTAGTATTTTAGTAGCTTAATTTTATTTAATTTTTTTAATAAAGAAAGACCGTTAAATTTTTTTTTTTAGACTTTTCCCGAATATGGATCTCCTAGACATTTTTCTTGAGGGATTAAAGTCTAGACCAAAATCCAAAAACTATGTCTTTTAGTTTCCCTTAGGTAGTAATAATCCCCTGTAGCTTTTCTTTGTGCATCGGTTCTTTTTCATGGGATGTAGTTTGAACTAGGTAGTAGATTTTTCGTTTATTTTATTTTTCTTAGAGTAGGACTTAGGAAAAAATGGAGGAAGAAAAATGAGATTCCTAGGCACCCGTGACTTGTTTGATAGTAGAATATTTAGGCTTTGGCATGTGGAGTATTTTCCATGTGTGCTAACATTGCTTATGATGCCTTAGTTATTTGGATAGCATATTTATGATGCCTACGTCTCATTTTCTTGACTTATGTTCACTCTATGCTTAATGCTTAATATCTTGTGGCTCCGTAAATACTTACATTAGTTTGAGAGACGGAATGAAACCGTCCTTAGTGAGTCATGTGCCATGTGTGAAGTAAGATTTTTTTGTAGTCCATGTCATTGTACTTGTGCCTAGAACTTGCTCCGTATGTGAGTCGAAAAGAATGTTTAGGTGAGGCTCGTTTCGAAAAATGATTTTAGGCTTTCTTTGATCTTTTCGAACGTTATTGCTTATCACAAATAAAATCTATCCTTGGTTAACTATTTGAGGCTATAGGCTTTTATTTGGCACACACATTACAAGTCTATACCCCTTTTATTCTTAATTGATATCGTTTCGATCCTTTTACCTCTTAAAGCACTGTAAGTGTGAAATGAGCGCTAAAAGAAGTAAGGAGGCAATTTGGGTAGCTTTCGAGTGGAACCAAATGAAAGGAAGAAAGGTTCACTTGTTTTGTAAAAGAATACACCACTAGCGTAAAAAAACAATCTGAAAAGTGAGAAGGAAATTTTTAGATGAATAAATTGATATCTTGTTCTTGCTAATGGGTATGAATTAAAGTAGTGCCTAAGAAAGAGAAAATATTGTTAGGGATGATTTTAGTTGTGAAATTACAATTGGGATTGAAGAATTTGCGTTTACAGTTGATTATATGATGTATTAAAGTGCCTAAGAGGGTTAGCCACTATTCCTAAATATATCCTTCCCATCCTTTAGCCCATGATAAACGGCCAATAATGCATATTTTTTGGTGTACTTTCATCTCATAACTTGTGTGGTTACGGTAGGTTACATGAGTTTTTGTAGTGAATTATGCTCATTACGTGCATTATTATGTGTAGGAGCAAGTTGGACGAAAAGTGAGCAAAAAAAAGTTGATTTGTGACCAAAAGACAAAAGAGAGACTTTGCTCGTTCACTCTCGCGTGCACACGAGAGAGTGAACAAGCTAGTTGAGGAAAAACTTGAGAACAAACAGCGGATTATGGCAAAAAGGCATGGAAGTGCACGAGAGATCTAGAAGGAAAAGAAGAAGAGAAGCACTTCGCTCGTTCACTCTGGCGTGCGCACGAGAGAGTGACCGAGCTAACCTAAAAAGGCTGTTCTGAAGTGGGCTTGTATTATTTTCGCCCTATGCTAATCATATCCCATAAAAATAGTCTCTAAACTCACTTTTTGAGGGAGGATCGAACAGGAGGAGGCAAGAACACAAAGAAAAGAGCAAGGCGGAGAATTCTTCGACGGGTTTTTCACTTTCTTCTTCATATTTCCATTGTTGGTTATGACTTTTTATATTGTAATCTTTCATAATATTATAAGGAGCTAAACCCGTCATCGAGGGTTTGATGGAACCTCTTGGAGGATGAATTTTTGTTGCGTTTAATATAAGTTTGCTGTTGGATTTTCACTACTTGTTCAACTATGTAATTATTATGGTTGATTGAAGGGCCCTCAATTGACTGTGCCTATTTAGTGTGTATTGCTTGGAAAGGGGTACCATTTAGGTAGTTGTTGACCAACATCACTCCTAACGTATATGAAGAATCAATACAGAGAGTTTAAAGGTGAGATTAGGAATAATGAGACCTTGGTGCGATCTTACTGAGCGGTAAACTAGTGCCAGATAGCGTAGTTCGGAATAATACATCTAGTAAATTGTTGTATATGTTCGTAAGAAAATTACAATCTAAAGTGCTCACGATCGATAGAGAATATCTAGGCAAATTTATATGAGACGTGGCGGGGAGGATTCCGACGAGAGGGAAAATCGTAACCCTAGACCTTTGCAATCTTGTCTACAACATTTGCTTTGTTAGTATTAAAAATTACAGCTTTTTAATTACCTTGCGTTTAGTTAGTAAACACTCAAGTCATTATTCAATATTTCTTGAAGTTGATTACTTGAATTCTTGTAAGACTAGCAGTTGTGATTAGTAGGTTAATTCCCTGTGGGATGCGACTCTGGACTTGTAAACTAGATTATATTTGCAACAACCTCTTAGGCCTTTTAATAAGATATAGTTGGGTGTGATCAGATTTTGGCGCCGTTTCCGGGGGAGTTAACAGTGTTAATAATTACGGCTAGACGAATTGCTAGAATTCTTAGTTTAGTCAGCTTTCTCGACTTGAAATTCATTATACTAAAACTCTAAAGTTTTTAGTCTTGTGTGTTATAGGTGCATGCCTAGAAACTCCTCAAGAATTGGTGAATTGTACGAGACGTTACCGAAACCTAAAAAAGCTTTCAAGGCACTAAATCGAGCAAACAAGAAAGACAAACGACAACATAACTCAGTAGAATGAATCAAAAAAGACATGGGGGATGTCAATGATAATCAACACAAAAGAAACATTGCGAATGACCCGAACAATCAGGGTGGGGAACCTCTTATGCCAGAAACGGCCTTGTATGATTGGGCACAATCCACCGCTGAGAATCTGGAAACCGTAATTGCAGTCCCTCATATACAAGCAGTGTCATTTCAAATCACAAACAACATGTTACATCTACTACAGAACAAGGGACTGTTCTCCGGGTCTTACACTGAAGATCCTCAGCAGCATCTGAAAAATTTCCTATCGATTTGTGTCATGCAAAGGCAACCAAATGTGACACCGGAAGTAATAGGGTTGTTGTTGTTTCCATTCTCAGTGATGGGTGAGGCTTAGACTTGGCTAAATTCGCTCCCGATAAACTCAATCACTACTTGGGAGGAATTAGTCAAGTAGTTTTTGAACAAATTCTACCCAACCAATAAGACTACCAAGCAAGTTGATGAGATCTTGAACTTCAGGCAGAAACCAGCAGAAACATAGCAAGAGACGTGGGAGAGATTCAAAGAGACGCTGGTTAAGTGTCCATACCATGGCATTTCGGATCAGATGTTGTGACAAGACCTATAGCTGAGAAACTATCCGACCCTGGAAGCTTCATAATTCCATGCACCATAGGTAGATATGCATTCTCCAAAGCATTGTGTGGTTTCAGGGCGAGCATAAATTTGATGCCATTGGCTATCTATAAAGAGTTAGGCATTGGAAGAGCAAGGCCCAAATCCATGTTTCCGAAATGAGAAAAGGCCATCAGGTATACTAGACGATGTACTTGTGCAAGTTGGAAAGTTTGTGTTTCCGACAGATTTTGTCATTCTGGACTGCCAGGTTGATGAGGAGATTCCTATAATTTTGGGAAGGTCATTCCTGACCACAGGAAGAGCTTTGATTGATTGTGAAACTAGGAAGTTAAAGATGAGGCTGAATAATGAAGAAATAATATTTAATGTGCGACAGTCTATGTGGCGACGCTGAGTTTGCAAATTGCTCTCTGGGAGAAGTTGTGGATGTGATCATGGAGGAAGATGATGAAGCACTTAATGCAAAAGACCCTCCGTTGGCATGCCTCATGAACTTAGAAGAGGTGAATGGTGAGGACTTGGCAGAGTGGGTGTTGGCTCTTGAAGGCCAAGGGTACTGGAAAAGAGAGATCGGATTTGAGCCTTTACATTTAGAAGAAAGAAAGACCCCTCCGGCTAAGCCATCGATCGAAGAACCACCATAGTTAGAGCTGAAACTGCTACCATCTCACCTCATGTATGCTTTCTTGGGACCTAACTTGACTTTAACTGTTATTATCTCATCTGGTTTGTTAGATCAGGTAGAACAGCTTTTGCAGGTGTTGAAAGAGTTCAAGGTTGCAATTGGTTGGACCATTGCAAACATTAAGGGTATCAGCTCGGCATTTTGTAAGCATAAAATTCTACTAGAAGATGGTCACAAACCTTCCAGAAAACATCAAAGAAGGATGAACCCCAACATGGAAGAAGTCGTGAAGAAGGAAGTGATCAAGTGGTTAGATGTGGTAATCATTTTTCCCATCTCTGACAGCAACTGCATTAGCCCAATTCAGTGTATGCCAAAGAAAGGTGGAATTACTATTGCGCAAAATGAGAACAACGAGTTGATCTCAACACGAACAATCACGGGATGGCGAATTTGTATGGACTACATAAGATTGAACAAGGCCACCCGAAAAGACCATTTGGGCGGAACAGATCTACTAATTCTTTGATTCCAGTTAGTAAGAGGGATCTTGAACTAAGAAATAGACCCTAGAACGTCGTTCCCATCACTTCTTACTTAATGGTTAGGTCCGAATTCTACAATGGAGCTCAGAATGAAATTGGTTCTTGAGTCAATCTTCTCAGTCTTTATTGGCTCGAAGCTCTTGATTTTTTGTTCTATTTCTATAAGAAGATTCATTTTATTATGGTATGAATGCGTATTGATGCTTTATTACACTGCCTTTTATGAGATTACTCATAGACCTTACATATTGGAATTTTATATGTTTGATCTGGATTTCCCCCATTTTTGTATCATAGACCAAGGATCTATTTTCATTCCTTGTCTATCGCGAAATGCTATGGTTCTTACATATAATTTCTTAATTTATTCAGAAGTAATTCGCGAGATCATGCACCTCTCTTTCCTAGTTATAACGGAAAAGTGCCTTTGCCACAATTAAAAGAGATCATATGAAGGCTCTCATACTCAATTTTCCACACAGTGCGTAGGAAGCTCTATTAGCGAATGCAATTCCCCGCCCGATAAGACTGATCATGCCCTGCTGCTTGGATTGGAATCAAACTAGCCTATCATGCCCTTTCTTCATTCCTATATGGACCATCCAGATCATGAATGTTTGGAATCCATATTATGCAAGGAGACATTGCTTTTGCTAATTCGAATTGAAGGGTCCTTAACGGCCTTTATTTTAAGCAATTATTCGCTCCAAGACGCACGACAAGACCTTCGATCTAACTTCCAATAAATGTCTCTTTTTCCATTCTGCAACCCCATTTTGCTGTGTGGCCCTAGTTTACGGTCAGATGAATGAACCGCCGGGAGCTCTTGCGTCGGATGGACGTCAAGTGGTTGATATTATCCCTCCCGGACCAGAACTTCTTGTTTCCGAGGGCGAATCTAGATGGTAGTCGTGGTTGATTCGAGGATCTTACGCGGCGGAGCGAACTCTTCTATCGTGTTGCATTTTCTCTGGCGGACCCCCCCCTACCCCCCCCCCCGGTCTCGAATTATCTGAATAATGGATTTAGGGGCGAAGATCCTTCGATCTTGTTCAACAAAATCATCACGCAGTAAATTCTTCATTGGACGGTTCGGATGGACTTCGCCGTTCTTTCCCAACTAAAATCGAAAGGGCTGTATAGAACTGCATCCTTTAAAAATTCATTCCAATCCATCGAATTATTCGACTTTTGATGCAAAAGATTTATAGATGGAGCTAACCGTAGTAAGAGGAGTAGTTATGAACCCTGTAGACCATTCAAAGGGAAGTAGACTACTCAAGAATTTTCTATTTTATTTGTTGGAATTGAATTTGAATAAAGAATTAATAGAAGACGGAATCACATCTCCTAACGTTCATTGACTAGATGTTAGATAGATTGGTAGGAAGGTCCCACTTTTGCGTCTTGGATGGATACTTGGGGTATAATCAGATCTCTATTACCCCGGAGGATAGAGAGAAAACGTCATTCACCTGTCCCTATGGCATCTACGCTTTCTAGAGAATACTGTTTGGCCTATGCAATGCACCCGCCACATTCCAACAGTGCATGATGTCCATCTTCACGAATATGGTAGAGGAAATAATGGAGGTTTTCATGGATTACTTCTCAGTGGTGGGGAGCTCATTTGATGATTGCTTATGAACTTGAAAAGAATATTGAAGAGGTGTATAGAGACTAATCTGGTACTGAACTGGGAAAAGTGTCCTTTTATAATATAAGAAGGTATAGTCTTGATACACCTAGTGTCAAGTAAGGGCATTGAGGTGGACCGTGCTAAGGTTTATGTAATAGAGAAGTTGCCACCACCCGCTTCTGTCAAGGCAATAAGAAGTTTTCTTGGTCACGCCGGTTTCTACAGGCGGTTTATAACAAATTTTTCCAAGATTGCTAACCCTTTGTGTAAATTTCTTGAAAAATATCACCTCTTTGTGTTTTCTGATGACTCCGGGGTAGCTTTTGAGGAATTGAAGAAGAGGCTAGTATATTCACCTATCATAGTTGCACCCGACTGGGAGCAACCATTTGAGCTGATGTGTGATGCAAGCGATTATGTTGTCGGAGCAGTGTTGGGGCAGCGAAACGAGAAGGTCATGCACCCAATCTACTATGCAAGTAGAACCCTGAGTGGTGCCCAACTAAACTACACAGTGACCGAGAAGGAAATGCTAGCACTGGTGTTCACATTTAACAAATTCAGGTCATACCTGATAGGCTCAAAGGTAATTGTTTATCCTGACCATGCAGCTCTCAGGTACCTAATTAAGAAGAAGGATTCAAAATCGCGCCCGATTTGATGGGTGCTGCTACTACAAGAATTTGATCTGGAAATCCGTGACTAAAAGGGAAAGGAGAACCAAGTGGCAGATCACTTTTCCAGGTTAGAAAGAGCGGAGAAGAAGGTTGAGGTAGAAGAGATTGTGGAAACTTTCCCGGATGAACAACTGTTGGCCACATGCCTTGAGGTAGCGCCATGGTATGCAGATATTGTAAACTACCTGGCAAGCAGTTTTATCCCCCATGACCTGTCCTTTGTACAAAAGAAAAAGTTCTTCCATGATTGTCGTATGTACTTTTAGGATGAGCCTTATCTGTTCAGGATTTGTGTTGACAACATGATCCAGAGATGTATTCCCGAGATAGACCAATCTTCTATTTTGCAGGCTTGTCACGCATTCCCATATGGTAGCCATTTCGGGAGAGTAAGGATAGCTGCGAAAGTGTTGGGGTCGGGCTTCCATTGGCCGACATTGATCAATGATGCACACTTCTGGGTGAAGTGTTGTGATAAATGCAACCGGACCGGGAACATTTCCCGCCGACATGAGATGCTCATGAACCCAATTCAGGAGGTGAAAGTATTTTATGTATGGGGAATCGATTTCATGGGGACTTTTGTCAGCTCATATGGCATCAAGTACATACTCGTAGCTGTGGACTATGTATCAAAATGGGTGGAAGCTGTGGCACTCCCTTCAGATGATGCAAATGGAGGCATTGGTTTTTTGAGAAAGAATATATTCCTCCGGTTTGGCACTCCAAGGGCAATAATTAGTGATGGAGGCACTCACTTCTGCAACAGAGCCCTCGCAAAGTTGTTAGAAAAATATGTTGTGCGCCACAAGGTTGCCAGTAATAAGTTATAAAATAAAAGTGTAAGTTCCTAAAGATGATCATGAATATTGATTGTGTATAAGTAACTCAATAATTAAATAAATTATCTTAGAACTCATCAACATCAATAATTTAACTTAAAATTTGTTCCAAGTTTATAATTTCAGAATTTCAGTTTCACGGGCAAGAACCATAGTAATGTAAATAATCTTGAAGGATACAACTTACAATATATAAGCACGTAAATAATAATTTAAGAACTTTAAATAAACACAAAATCAAAGTGCAATACTAAACAAAAAGCGACATTAAAAAAAGAAGAAGAAATAAAGCAAGCTAGCTAGAAAAGCTACAATTGAAAGCTAGCTATTAAACCCACTCATATTTAGCTAAATGTATTGTGGAATATAAATTAAAGACTCACATAAATTATCTTGTTAAATTAGTGCCTTTTGTTGATTTTTGCTCTATATTGCTCATAACTATAATAGTACATTTAATGTTTATGAAAGTTAAAAGTATGATATTGAAAAATATTATTAGTGGTAGTCCTGTATACAGTAATTTTAAAAGTGAACTATCTATGCTATTGTCCAAGAACTCATACCTCTTCTTTCTTAAATATTTTTATTTCTTCTTTATTTTATTTTTCTATCATTTATATATAATTTACGTATAAGATTTATACAAAGTTCAAAACGAAAAGAAAAAACAAAATTTTAACTTTCTCCATGGTTCAAATAAGAAATAAATTAATAAGTAAATTTTAATTAATTTTAAGCTCTTAAATATTAAAAGAATAATGAAATTACTATTAAATGAAGTATTTCTCATAATATTTACCATAAAATTGAGGGACTTCAACCTTCTTTCTTAGCACTTCTTTCTTGAACATCACCCTGGCCGCAGTTAAACATATCTGCCCATATAGTTTGGACTAATCTTAACTAGTCTTTCCTAGAAATTTACACGGTAATCCATCAGAGTTATTAAGAAGTTGAAAAGATATATATATATATATATATATATATATATATATATATATATATATATATATATATATATATATACTCATTCAAGTTTGAAATTAGTAGAAAAGGCATTAGTTTTAAATTTTAGTCCTTTATTGTAGGTAAATACTGTATTAAATAATCACATAAAGCATTATTAAATAATATTCTATTGGGTATAAAAAAACTCATATTTCTTATTAATTAATATGTTGTGATGGCTAAAAGCTAAAAAGTAGGACTTCTTACTTAGCTCAATAAGGAAATATTTAATGTCTTGTGACATAGATCAAGTTTGAAATGGGAAGAAAAAGTATTAGTTTCAAATTTTAGTCCTTTATTGTAGGTAAATATTATTAAAGAACTAATGAAAAGCATTATTAAATAGTATTCTATTGGGTGTAAAAATACTCACATTTTCTTATTAATTAATATGTTATGATGGCTAAAGGCTAAAAATTAGGACTTCTTACTTAGTTTGATAAGGAAATATTTAATAACCAAATTTAGGTGATTTAAATACCCTAAATATTAGAAAAGTAAATTAAATTATAATTATGTCCAATGTGAAATTATTTTTAGAAGGTAAAAAAGAAAAATGACATTTTACGAAGCGCCTTTATAGTTTTAATATAGTAATAGATAATAGATATATAAAAGAAGACTTCCAGATCTAAGAGGAATTGAAAGTGGGCGAAGACAATACAAAATAGTTTGATTTTTGCGTATTTATATTTTTCCTTTACAAATTCATATTATAACATGCTTATGTGATGTTAATAGTTCCCTTTATTCTTGGGCATATTTGGATACACGTAATCATAATCTTTTTAATAACCTTCACATCAGGTGTCTCTTAATAATATTATGTATTATCTTACAGAATTTTACTTTTTCTCAATGGCTCATCATCCTACAACTGTGTCACGATCCAAATTTTCTCTCCGTAAGGCGTTGTGACGGCACCTAGTCTCTACGACTAGGTAAGCCTAACAATTTGCGGAAAACGGAAATCAAAGAAAAATTAACGACTAAACTGCAACAGATAATTAAATAACTGATAAGATGCCGTTCGGCATGTACAAAATCCAACACTCGAGTATACACAGTATTTCCCAAAACCCGATAGTCATAAGTCACAAGCTATAGAAGAAAACTAGTATCTCTATACACCAGAGTCTAAGAAAAATACGAGAAGGTAAATGACATAGGAGGAAATAGAGGGGGACTTCGAGGTCTGCGAACCCGGCAGATGTACCTTGAAGTCCTCGTATAGCAACAAGCTCTTAGCTAATAGCGGGGTTGATAAGAAGCACCTGGACCTACACGTAAAACATGTGCAGAAGAGTAGCATGAGTACACCTCAACAGTACCCAGTAAGCGCCAAGCCTAGCCTCGGCAAAGTAGAGACGAGGGTCAGGTCCGGGCCCTACTGGGACATAATAATAAGACAGATGATATAATAAAATAAAGAAAAATGGAGAATTTAATAGAAAGAATTCAAAAAGGAATAATAACACAACACAATGAAGTAACAATAAGGGCACTCCCGAGATACCGTCTTGTATTCCCAAAAGTAAATACTCAATAGGGGATCTCCCAAGATACGGTCTCGTAGTCCCAAAAGCAAATATGCGAGGAGATCTCCCGAGGTACCGCCTCTTAGTCTCAAAAGTAAATGTGCAGGGGGATCTCCAGAGGTACCTCCTCATAGTCCCAAAAGTTAATGTACAGGGGATCTCCCAAGGTACCGCCTCGTAGTCCCAAAAGTAAATAAGAAGAGGGATCTCGTGAGGTTCCGCCTCGTAGTCCCAAAGGTAAACACATAACTCAAATCAATGGAGAAAGCAATTAACAACAAGAATTCTACAGCTAAGGTTGATACAAATCAAGTAAAGGCAGGAATTCATCTAAGCATCTGCACAAAATTCGAATAAGCGTTTAAGACACGTAGACATGCGAAACTAGGCTAAACAGTATAACTACATGCTAGTATAACTCAATTAACTTGTAACAGGCAATTGTTCAGTGAAAAACCGGATTTTACAATAATTAGCCCGTGTACGCACTCGTCACCTCACGTACACGGCGCTCACATATCATAGAAGTATCACAACAGTACCAAATCCTAAGGGGATTTCCTCTTCACAAGGTTAGGTGATAGTTTATATGAGTCCACCAAACTATAGAGAGACCAGGTCCTCTATGAGTTTCCACTGAGAATGCTAATGAAACAGTAAGTAAGTAAGACAGGGAGTTTTACGTGGAAAAATCCCTGCTCAATGGGATAAAAAGCCACGACCTACACTGGTAGGATTTCAACTTCACTATGAGCAACTTTAAATTACAACATATGCAATCTAGGAATTAAACTCTTAATCCCTCACTAACTTATAATACACCTATTACAAGCCACTTTGCAATACACCTATTACAAAGACTTCAACTCATGACTAACTCTAGTTACGACACAAACACTAAGGGTATATGGTTTTACACGGGGTTCCTAAGCAACACTTCTAGATAAGCAAAGTAGGAATTACAATGAAGAACAATTACAAAGTTACAACTCAACTAAGGATAACAAGATAGTAGATTTAGGAACTGGTCTGTAGTAGTGTTAAACTTTGTTCTTAATGCACTTGAGAATTGAATGCTCGAATATCAGATGGCTTCAATGCTTGGAATGAATTCTCAAGTGTTCAAATGATGTTTTGTTATAATACACTAGTCAATACAACTTGGATGACATCACTTGAATGATGTAATCACTTGGTTGGTCAAAGGACAAGTGATAGCAGAACTGTACTGCACTGTTTTTGTGTACAGTGCAGGCAGTCACTTTCCAACTGTACACAGTTGACTTGGTACTGCTGTCAGGGAAACACAGGGGTATCAGGTCCCTGTGTTGATTCTCTATCTTCTGAAGTTGTAGCAGTTCACATTAGCTAGAGTCCGTTGATTTGCGATGTATACCAAGTGTGTCAGGTTCCGTATCTAGTTCTTTGATAGTAAGTTTGTTAGATCATCAAAACATAAGGCTAAGATATTGGAAACCCATCAATTCCCCCCTTTTTGATGATAACAAACTTAGAAATTAATAACCCACGTTTAGAGCAAAATTAACCAGATGAAGCAACAGGAACTTCACAAGTTCCCCTAACTCTATGCTTCCCCCTTAATCAGATCCATGTTTCAATTATACTTCCCCCTTTTGGCATCATTAAAAATACACAAGAAAGCAATCAGCATAAAGAAGTCTAGCCTAGCTAACTCATGCCACATATGTGCACACAACATGATAGAAAAGAGAAACAGAGAAACATAAGCATTAAACAGCAAAAGAGGATAGTTTTTGATAAAATATATGCCTTTGCTGTATAGCAAAGGCAAAGATTGGACTTTTTTCAGCGGGAGCAGTACAAGTGCATCCTATCCACATCACAAAAAGAAACAAAAACAACTGCCATAGTCATCAAAACAAAAACAAAAAATCCAGAAATTGGTCACTGAATGGGCTGCCTAGGGGACACTAGGAAGAGAGGGCTTGGAAGCTGCAGCAAGGGTGTCGAGAACTACATCTAATCGGGCATTCGCCGACATTTGCTCGGTAAGCAGTTTCTCCTTCAGGTTCTCCACTTGTGCCCTGAGATCAGTATTTTCTTTGGTCAAACGAGCTATCTCGTCATTTGACCCTAGGGCCCCTTGGGCCTGCTAACCTTCCAGAATAGTGTTCCTTGCCTTCAACTTTCGAATATCCTCAGTTGCACTATTTTGAGCATTGATGAGCTAAGATATTATCGAAGTACTGCCTACCCCTCCTTTATTTTCAATACACTCACATTCCTCCAAAGTTGTTTGAGATAAGGTTTGCTTCTTGGTCCCTACTTTGTACTATCTCAGTGGCACTTTGAATAACTTAAAAACGTGCATAAGAAGAAACCCCTATGGAAGACCATGGTTTCCATCCTTGAAAGTCGCCACCTTCTGCATATGCTCAATCATGATGGCAAGCAAGTTTA